CACTTATATGCATGCAATTTATGCCCCATCAAATATACAAAAGAAGAGCTAACACTATTGAAGTAGCTCACTTCTGGTCAAAAACAGTCTGATTATCTTAACATTTTAATTTGTTTTTAATTTTATATGCATTCATATTTCTGGATTGTACAGTGCTCTGACACAAAGAAAGAAAAAGAGAGAGAGAGAGAGAGAAAGTTATTTACAGAGATGAAACAACGTACTACTCTGCTGAATAATTTGAAGAACAGCAAAACATGTTGCAAAGATTAATTCTTTGCTTTCATTTACTTTCACTTTTAGGATAAGAAATTATAATGCATAAGTTATCATCCAAAATAAAATGTATTACACAACCATCGATCATGATGAGAAAATAATGGAACAAAATATGCACTTCCTATTATTTAGCAGCATCAATATGCTTATCTTCAAAATACTGACTTCTCGATATTAGGAAAGTAATCCTATGTAATCTGTTTAGCCAACGCTTTTTATTTGATGCTCTGTTTCATTATCGTGATATCTTTTTTAAAAAATCCTTCAGGATACTGGAGAAATAAGAGATGAATTATTATGAATTTTAGTATACGTGGAAGAAAATTTCAATCTGTGGTTCATTGGTAGAGCACATTGTTCAAACAAACAAGCAAACAACACAATCACTTCCAGCTTGAATCCTTTGCTTCTATAGGCATGGTAATGTAAGATTTCCTATCCAAAACCCTGGGGAAGCACTGCCATTCATTGTAAACATTGATATGGCTGGACAGAACAACACTCTAACTTTGTTTAAGATAGTTTCGTATACTGTATTCCTATCAGAATTATAGAAGTTCTATCAGTGGGACCATAGAAGGATTAGACAGAATTCTGGAAGAACTTCAAGTAACTCTTTAACATCTCTAATAGCAACTTGAAGAAAGAGAGACTTATTTTCTCCATATCTAGTACCAGGGTGGGCTGGGTAGGCTTTGATTATTATTTATGGCTTGCCATATGTTCCACAGAAGACCTAGTACAAAGAGAAATGTCAGTGGGTTGCCCTTGCTCTGCCCACTCTCATTGGCCTCATGAATTAGAATAACCTCCAGTGTATAATATTTCCTAATGCAGGGTGCATCTTGCAGCAGGGGTACAAACATAACCATTCTTCATACAAGATCTAGAAATACAAGAGAGGCAAACCAAGTGATTCATCACATTCCCTCCTGTCACTTCTGTGGAATGTGTAAAATGAGCTTATTATTTTCACTGTAAATCATGTAACTCTTTGGTGTGCCTCTATGCATTATTAGACCTTTCTCTTAGATGTACAAACACAGCTTTCAATAGCTATAAGTGAAACAGAATGTGTACTTTCAAGGACACTGCTTCTGCTAGCCAGGCTGATTTTCAAAAAGGTCTTCCCAGAATACAGAACCACTGTTCCCTTTTCATTTTGCTGGATTTTTCCACCCAATGCCTTTCATTAAAAATAGCAAGCCAAGAAAAGGAGTGTGTACGTGATGATGAATAATATGTCAAGGACCACCAGAGCATTGACACCATATAATGAAGAACTAAGACACATAAGAAACAAGATTAAGAGGCTTGAAGACAATTGCCAAGATTAAGGCCTGCCAAAGTCAATTGGAACATGCTATAAATAAATGTCTGAGCATTAAATGACCATTGCATAAACTCATTCTAAGTGGCACTGGAATCTTGATGGCAGGTGCCTAATAATACTACTTACAACTTACAACACATTTAACTAACTGGCAGAGGCAAAATACTTTCAAGATGCACCTGCCATTAATTCTTCAGATAAAGAAGAGTGAAAGGAAGATTTTTAAAAAAATTAAGATAGCAGGCTAATTCCTCTTGGACATTTGAAATATATAAAAAATATTATGGAATCACGAGGGTCAGAGAGCTAACATCTATTTACAAAGCAGTAGGAATCTATTTCAAGATATCAGCATCTAAAAATGCTAACACAGTACCCTCTCGGGTGGGGGAATCCCTCTCAGAGATAATTCACGATTTCACAAAGAAAGAAATAGATTTGGAAAAATAAGTTACTGTATTTTTAAAAAGAGCTGAAGCCTTTTAAGGTATCAAAACCTACAGACTTTAACACGATACAATTATTCTTTGTGAATTTCATTTTAAGCATTTAAATAACGTTGTTTATCAGAATATGGAACACAGCTCTGGGGTGCATTTTCCTTCCTTTCTAAAATGGGTGGCATGACAAAATCTCAAATATTCTAAAATTTTACCAGGCATTTTCCCCCAGTATAATATAAATACTTTCCAAAAGATATATTCTGATAGTCCCTTCAAAATACCAGGAATTCACACTATTATTCTGTCTATAAAATGATTCTGAAATATGTCCTTTTTAAATGCACTTACTTTATAAAATTCTTGTGAATAGACTAGCAGTTAAACTTTTTCATTTCACTCTGCAAAGATTTTCTGCAGTATATTAAGTGATGAAATGCATCTGTTTTGAGTTATACACCAGGACAATTCCTATGCAGAAAATGTCAATTTGTGTTAACCTTCAAAGTGTAAAAAGGATTGGAGTGTTAATTGGTTCTGAATTTCAGACAGATTAACCTCACAGTAGAACATTCATTTATCCTAAGGCTTTGCCATTAGAAGTGTTCAGAATATTCAGTTCAGTACCAACTTTCACAAGAGCTGAGGATTTACAACACAATAACATGGTTTTCACAGCTGTGTATTTACTGTGCAATTAAATAATCTACTGAAAATTATCTCCCAGTCTGGGAAACAAATTCAGTACATTTAACTTGATTTTTTTAAGAACAGAAATTTCGCCTGTATGTCAATAACAGCTAATCAGTCCTTCCCTCAGGTAAAGCATTTCATACATAAAGCATGAAATACATTTCCCTATGTCAGATGCAAGACAGATGGAAATAAAAAGAAACTCTTAGAGTACATTCCATGCTTCAGAATGTGCACCAATAGTCTGTCATAACATAAATTCTCTTATTAATGATGTTTATTTTCATAGTGATTTATTATTTCCAACCTTTTGTTTCCTTAGCCTTAGATATTCTTGTGAACAAGAGTTTAAAAAGTAAGATTTGCAAGGATGGCATTAAACATCGCTCTCCAGCAACAAATGTGGTCTGGAAGGGGATGATGATGATGATGATGATGATGATGATGATGATGATGATGATGATGATGATGATGATGATGATGCTCAGTCAAAATGTGGCTGAAACGTCACAGGAACTTCAGCTGTTTAGCTTTAATTAAGCCAGAGGGTTTTTAAAAAAGATGGGAGATGCCTTGAAGCTGGGATGGTCAACATACAGGACTATGGATGGTATCATGTGCCCTGAACACAGAGCAGAAGAGAAATCATGCAAGTACAGTGGGGTCTTGACTTGAGAACTTAATCCGTATTGGAAGGCGGGTCTCAAGTCAAAAAGTTCTCACGTTAAATCTGCATTTCCCATAGGAATGCACTGAAAACCATTTGATCCGTATCTGCTCTTTCCGTGCATAGAAACTAATGGGAAGCTGCTATTCTGCCTTCGACCACTAGAGGGGGATAGTTTGTTTCTTTTTTTCTTAGGTCAAGAAAGGTTCAGGGAAGGCAGGGAAGATACAGTCCAGGCAGTACCAGGCAGTCTGAAGCCTCCCAATCCACTCTCTAAACGCTGGGAGGAGTGAGGAAGCAGACAGGCACCCTTTTCACTGGCCAACAGTTAACTGAAAGTTCAAATTTTGCACTTTCCCTGCCTCCCACGTGGTTTTTTTTCAGTTCTTAACTCAAATCTAAGTACTTAAGTCAAGTCAATATTTTCCTATGAGAGTGGTTCTTAAGTCAAAATGTTCTTAACTCGAGCCGTTCTTAAGTCAAGACCCCACTGTATCCTATCTTACTCTGACAGGCTCCCCATTATGTGAACAGTTTGTGACTATTATTGTAACCCATGCAAGAACAGGAATGCCATAGGGAGATGGCCCATTTCACTTCTGCTCCACATATAGACAACAGGATACTAGTCTGAGCTATTTTCTACAACTCAAAACAGTTTTAGACTGGAAATGAAGGCAGTCTACCCAACCTTCCATCTGTATATCAAGTCGTACTGCTTCCAGTAGATTAGCTGTGCTTGTCCCTTCCAGGAAAATAATTAAGATCCTTGTGGCACCTTAAATAATATTGTAACCTCTGTTATAACTCAGTCATTTTGCATTTAAGGGGTCCCAGGTTCAATTCTGGGCACTTCCAAGGATTTGACTGGAGAGAATGCAACATGGCAGTCCTTCGCCTGAACCCTGACAAGTCCCCTTTAGTCAGAGCAGACTACACTAGGCCAGATCAACAAATAGTCTGACTAGCTACCAAGAGGCCTTCTACTTTCTCATGTGGTATTACAGCCCAATGGCTATGAAATACAAAAAAAAAAGGGTTGCAACAATTCTTTAAATTGTTAAAGAGTTAAAGTTAAAATAATTATATGACCACAGTTGTATGTGTGTATGCACACCTACCTACTCAATATCATGCTGTATTTCTGATGAAGTGGACTTTGGCTCATTAAAAACTTTACAGTACAATAAAGCTCTGGGGCTTTCAAAGGCAACAATATTCTTCCTTGTTGTGCTTTGTATGCCATATACAAACCTTGTCCTTTCTGATCTCCAGCAACAAGAAAGGTGAGTATTTATTGCAGTATAAAGAAGGCAGCATCTAGTCTCTTTATAGCATATGCAAGACAGAAACAGGTTGCTGGATTGCCATATATGCATGTCACAGGGGGTTTGGCATTGAAATGCATGAATGGGTTATATGGTCTTTGAGGAAGTGACAACAACAGAAATGATAAAATCTGATTCCATTTTCCAGCCACCAAACTTTCCTTGACTCATTCAGATAAGATAGAGAATTTTAAAAAATTGATGTCAGCAGCAGAATTTGGCCTTCCACAATAAAGCTACATTTTCTGATATGCACCTACCTAGTAGCTGCACACCACGTGTGAGTCCATACACGTCAATCAAAGCCCACAGTGGTTCGGTGGTCCTTACCCCACTGAAGAACAACATGGCAGCAGAGTCATTAACCCGATAAAATACACGTCCCTTTTTGTCCACCCAGAATGCTATGATGTTTCCTTCATTTGCAAATTCTTCTGGAAGAGCCTTGGCCCAAAATCCACTCTGAGAAACCAGGTCTGGACATGCATACTTAGGAAGGGTTTCTGGGTTAATCCTAGAGGGATCCTTGGAGGTAAATCCAAGTCGAAGAGCCCCACTCCAACAACATTGCTTCTTGGTGATCTAAAAGGGAGGAAACAGCAATAGAATCAGGATGATTTCCAGTAATGATCCTGGAAGCATGGCCCAGATATTGATGGTGTTTCATATCGACCTTTTGATAGAGGGTGAAGATCTGACTGTGTATGAAAGTTGGACAGACTTGATCTTATGGCAATGTGTCACTGGGAGGAAAAGCTGCATGAGGAGTGTTGTGAATGGGGTGAGGAATTAGGAACTATTACCAAAAAGAAATATATTGTTCAATGTGCAGACATCAGAAGATGAGACCAACTAGTCATACAGCCTCAAGAGTGGGAGGCAAAGGGCCCTCAAGGTGCATGTAATAGAATATGGGGTCAGGAGATCTGTTTCTATTGCCTCATTCACGTGCTGATTGTATGCATAAGCCCAACTCAACACCCTTATTCTTTGATTCAGTTCAACTGGATGAATTGTTCCAAATATTAACCTATTCTATTTAGAACTGTTGGATAGCTCAGTGGTTAAGGTATCTGGCTATGGAGCCAGAGGTTGGGAATTCAATGATCCATAGGATCCCTTCCAGTTCTACAGTTCTAAGGTGATGATGATGCAAACCAGTTACTTCTCATTGCATAAATCAAGGAATTAAAATCCATTCTTCAGAGCACAATGTCAAAAAGCTGACTGCAAACTAAGCAAGGGGTATTTTAAGAAGTCTCTTATCCAAGGAAATAGACAGAGAATGGCATATGCAAGAGAATCGAGTACAAAGCATTATCACAGTAATCTAGGCTTCCAGCAATAATGTTTTAAAGACAGGAAAAAGGCTGCATTGAGACTTTAATCATTTAAGCTTCTCAAGATATAGCGCAATAATAGTAACATGTAATGACAGAAATAAACTTTAACTATGACCACAGTAAAGATGCCCATTGGAGGCTAAAAGTAATACTGCTTGAAGACAGTGAGTACTTTGGTTAATTACATTTAGGAAATATTCACCCCTGGGCCATTTACTACCATTGAAACATTGCTCTTCCACAATTGGCTGAAAATACCATTATAACTGTACTCCCCATCAATACTGAATATACTCTTGTATTCTGACTAATATGTTTTTATGGTCCATAGCAGGGGCAAAACTGGCACTCTTCAGAAGGAACTTAAGAATAAATATTCAGGAGCAAGCTTCACTGATTGTCATAGGGCCTTGTCCTTCGAGAATGAGTGACAACCTCTCATTTCTGCCTTTAAAAATTAACTCTTGTAGTAATACATCAATCAAAATATCTGGTTCTCCATCTCCCTTTGCAGTAGTAACCTTGGCAGAAGTTACTTTTTGGGCTACAATTTCCAGAAAGCCCCAGATAACATTACCAGTGACTTTTGACTTCTTGGCCAAGTCCATACCTGAGCCACACATCCAAACAACCCTTCGCCTCAATTATTTCAATACATATTTTCAAAGCAGGGAAAGGAATACATCACAAATGCTGGTCCATGCACCAAATCAGGATTCCTGATCTCATGTGCCCCAGACTTTCTTAACAACAGTAACAGCAACAGCCAAGAGATGGAGGTGTCCTTACTCTAACAAGAAAGGCTCCTCTCCCCACAACCCTCAGGCCCTGGGCAACAGGAGATGTCAAGGGCTTTAGCAGCAAGGAGACAAGGAAGAAACATTAACTAGGCAGAAGGTTAAGCAGAAGCCACAGAACAACAAAAGAATAGCACAAGTAATAATCTACACCTGACGTGCTGTTGCTTCCTCTTTAAAAAGTTGGGTTTACTACTGGATGAGAAAAGGTGACAAAAATAATACGAAAATAGACAGGTCATGGATTACTGACAGTGCCATTGGAATTTCTTGTAAAAAGTGAGCAAACAGACAAAGGACAGCAAAAAGTTATTGTGTCACTCTTACCTTTAGAGAATACTTAAAGACTTATGTTAAAATGCCTTTTTTAAAAGTGAGCAACAAATTGATATGTTTAGCAAGACCATGCTTGCCTCTGTTTCAGCTGTCAGACAGACTATCACTTCATTAAAGTTGATTATTTGGCTGCAGAAAAATGCAATAAACTCAGCTGACTAGTGCAGAAAAATGCAATAAACTCAGCTGACTACAGTAAACATATAAACAAGAGTCAGCCTCATTCATCACTTTTTTAAACTATAGGATTCCATAGCATCATTCATCACTTTTTTAAACTATAGGATTTCTTAAATTCTTAAGATTATTTACTCTACTAATTTTGCTGCAAAATTGTTTTTTTTATACTCATCACTATTTCACACTAACACATAGGTAATAAAATGAAGAAAACCAGCTTTAATTCTTAAAAGCTACACTGTGATAAGCTAGCTGGATAGCTGAACAAGTCAGAGCACCTGATTATCCACTGTTTCTTCCAGGAGAAAAGCCAGCCTGTGTGGCCAATGCCTAAGCCAAGCTTAGAAAAGTTAGTTTTCTTGGACTACAAAATCTAGAATTCCCTTGTCAGCATGTGTATGATCAAACCAGCTGGAGGAATTCTGGAAGTTGTAGTCCGACACCCCCCCTAATTTTTCTAAGTTTGGGTTTATTACTCTATAACAGGGGTCTCCACACTACAGCCCGCAGGCCACATCCAGCCCGCCTTGCCTTTTTATCTGGCCTGGTGGGCAGACGCATCAGTGGGTGTGTGGGCAAGTGGGCAGGCATGTGGCCAAGGGGGGGAAATGCAGGAGTGTGTGCGTACATGCACACCTTCCTTCAACCCTCAAAAATGTGGAGTATGTATGATCTGGCCCTCCCGCTGAAAAGTTTGGAGACCCCTGCTCTAGAACTAGGGCTGCTGTGTTTGCTCACCATCACAATACCGCAGAAATAGTCAGTGGATGGATAGAAAAGAGAGCACATCAGGATCTGTATTTTTGAAAAAAAAACAGTTCTCTGAACGCTCTTCTCTATACTGCTGAGAACCATGATCTAATATGCATTGCTTCAATAATAAAATATATCTTGCAATATATTGTGAGGGCCTGATATTCTATATTCATTTTTATTCCAAAACAGCAAATGGAAAAGAGATTTACTCACCTTGAGCCTGACTTGCTCATAGATAACAATTGGTCTGTTGCTGAAGGTGATTGCATTGCAGAAGCTGGCCTGCCGTTTGACTGCCTTCTGTGTGGTGTCCATGATAATCTGTGACCCCTTCGTGTGGGGGTGGAAAAGCAATGGGCTGATAGAGAGGGTTCCACACTGCGGGATGGGCAGACAGTGTTTTTGTTTGTGGTGGCATCGGTGAGAGGAAGCAGGAAAAGGCCCACCTATAGAGTCTGAAAGAAGAAATAAAAAAAATGAGATCTGGAAACTACTGAAAGCTATATAATGAAATCTATCAATACTAAGCCAAGAAATTCACAAGTAACGTAAGAAATTGCCCCAGTCAGCAACCACTTATATATTTGAGGTTTTAACTCAAATAGCATAGTAACTCTGCAAATCAATGGGTATATGTTTAAAAAAAAACCCTAAACCAACATCTACACATGTGATGTTGAAGAACTATAGAAAACTTAGCCAAAAAATGGAAGAATAGGCAAAGATCATACTCTAAAACTAAACTGTGATTTGACTTGTTACATTTGGGAGCCATATCAATGAAAACTTCAAAGCAAACTGCAGTTTCATCTAAGGGTCTTTTACGTGTGAATGAATGAGCTTAACCTTTAAATATATGTGTGGAAGATAAGAGTTTCACTGACAGTATGATCATTCGCTATTGCATTACATTGTTGACAGACCTTTATTTTTATTTTTGTTAAGAATTGTGGAAATGGGTCACAGAACATTCAAAGAGCTGTTAATACAATGCAATCCTTCTCATGAGGGTTTTGCAAAGACCTATGCAGCAACGGTGACACACAGCAAAGAGAATACTGAGCTAAATAAAGCAAAGGTCTAATTAAGAATTTGTGACATAAAATCATACAGCTTTATGTAAAGTTGGATAGCCTAGCATTTGACATCCGGATCCTTTTGTTCTTCACTGCTATACAGTGGGGTCTTGACTTGAGATTTATTTTTGTTAAGAATTGTGGAAATGGGTCACAGAACATTCAAAGAGCTGTTAATACAATGCAATCCTTCTCATGAGGGTTTTGCAAAGACCTATGCAGCAACGGTGACACACAGCAAAGAGAATACTGAGCTAAATAAAGCAAAGGTCTGATTAAGAATTTGTGACATTCATACAGCTTTATGTAAAGTTGGATAGCCTAGCATTTGACATCAGGATCCTTTTGTTCTTAACTGCTATAGTTCTCTTGCTCAGCCACTCTTTCAAGAACAGAAAGACGTATAAGATACCATGTTAATTCTTTCAAATATTAATTACAAACTCTTAACATGTTTGTGTACAAGAAGATATGGCTGGATTCTCAGTAACAAGCTGCAATGCAAAGCAATTATTTTATTAGCAAAAGTAGCTCACCACTTGGATGCAAAGTAGATTGTAGATAGATTGAGATAATTAAACCAGATGAAGTATGTAAACTGTATGATGAATTAAGTTTTCAGCTACTTTCTGGATGCTTGTTTTATAACAACAATACTGTAATAGTAATCTTAAAACCGCAGAACTAGAAGAGACCCTATGGACCATCAAGTCCAGCCTCTTGGAAGGAGGCCTCGTGGGGAATCAAACTCCCAACCAAATCACTGAGCTATCCAACAGTTCTTTCAGTTCAAAGGGAAGACCACTGATAGAGTACAGTATATGAATGCCAAAGGCCTTGAGGTGGTAGCAAGGAGGTGAACGTTGCATCCAAAGCAGATTCTCTCTCTCCTTTCTAGCTGTTTCCAGGGGAGAGTTTGAGATTCCTTGTTACATCTTCAGTATTGGATTAGTGCCCCAACTACAAATCCTTACACACATAGTGTTGCGCTGCATACGTCCAGCTGTCTGAGGGTTACATACAGAGCAGTACAAAAAAAAAGATGGATGCCAATCTGTGGAGAGGCTAAGAAGGGGAAGAGCAAATTTAGACAAAGGAAGCTTTAAAGATACTGCAATTCAATGAAGTCTACGCTTGCAAACGCAATTTTTAAAAAGCCACCTCCAACCTGTGCTAGCCCTGGCAATATCTCCCATGCCAATCTTTTCAGTTAAATACAAACTCAAATAGCTACTCTTGTTCTCAGCTTTGCTGGATTGTAAACTACATAAGTTCACGTTTACTGCACCCTCTGCAAAAGGGATCCACAACATCCAGGCCACAGACCAGTACCGGTCTATGGCCTTGGAAGCACATTCCCACCCACCTTACACATGCACACATGCACTTCCGCATACATGCATGTGCAGATGCACACACGCACAGAGAAATACACGCACATGCCCTGCACGCACACACACACACACACACACCTCCAGGCCACAGACCAGTACCGGTCCACGGCCTTGGAAGCAGTGGGCTGCTGAGACAGATCTTCAAGGGCCAAGGGAACATGCGTGTATGTGCATATGCACATTCCCACCCACCTTACACATACACACATGCACTTCTGCATACATGCATGTGCAGATGCACACGCACAGAGACACACATGCACACCCCCTGCACACACACACACACACACACACCACATACCTACCTGCACGGGCACACCGATGCACACACACACATGTACATACTTGCCCCTGCCCACACGCATGCCCCCCGCATGCACCACACCGATGCACACACGCACATGTACATACTCGCTCCTGCCCACACGCATGCCCCCCGCATGCACGCCACCCTTGTAGTCCTTCAGAGAATGGTCTTCAACTAAACTGGTCCTTGGTGTTAAAAAAGTTGGGATCCACTGCTCTGCGAGGCAAAGTAATTAGACTCTGGGTGTTGTTTCTCTCTCAAAATAAAATATAGTAATAAATTTCAAAACACAGCTCATCACTAAACAGAAGTTGAGGGCTTATCTACATGTGGCAACTGAAGCAGATAGGAATGAGCTAAACAGATTTGCAAAAAGATCTGGTATGCCATTTAGTGCAATCCTCACATCCAAATGGCATACAGACCGTATTTGATCCACAGCAGCCTGCTGTCAATTTGCCAATATCAAGAAGTGGCTTAAGAAGAGAGTCAGTTCATTGTATTGGCATATTAGCCATTTCCTCAGCTACATTGAAATCCCAGGATCTCTTCAATATGTTCATATCAATTGCAGTCCACTTTTTCTTCGGCAATAATGCACAGAACACGGATGTCAAACCCTTGCAGACTACTTGGCTCAGTCCAGTGGGTGGGGAAGTCTTAGGAAGGGACTGTGATTCAAGAAAGAGCAAGAAAGTTAAGAAAGAGCAAGGGAGCTGCAAGAGCAGCCGTTCCCTAGGAGGAAGAGGATAAAGCCCTTACCACCTTGGTTCAGGTCAAGGGTCTCCAAACTACAGCCTGCAGGCCACATCCAGCTTGCCTTGTCTTTTTATCTGGCCTGGATTGGTACTCTGGGAGTCCGTGGCTGCGAATTCAGCTTGCTTTGTCTTCTTATCTGGCCTGGTTTGGTACTCTGGGAGTCCGTGGCTGCGAAAGGGCCAGTCTCACCACCACACGGCTCGGCAGAGGCAAAAGCAGACCATAGCAGAAACCCACCATTAATGCGGTCCAGGGAGGAGGGAAGGAAGCAGAGGAATGGCAAGGTGTCCCTCGAAAGCAGCCGCTCAGGGGGCTGCTCCACCAGCTCCCTCCCAGCAATAGCGTATCCTTGCCTGGGTCGTCTGCTGGCCCACCCCACCTGTCCCTCTGCCCCATAACAATCTTCCATCACTGAGGCAACCACCCACTGCGCCACCTGCCAGCTCTGCCTGGAAAGCACAAGCCAAGTGCCAGCAGCTATGCCACGTAACCCACTCAGGAGGTGGCAACACTCAAGACTCGAGGAGACATCAGGGAGGTGAAAGTTAACTCACTCTCACTCTGTGTCTGTGTCTGTGTTTTCTCTGAGGGGGGGGGGTTGCCTCCCTGGAGAGTGCCCTTCCTTCCCAAGACACAGGGAGGCGAAGCTCACTCTCACTCTCACTCTGTGTCTGTGTGTGTGTTTTCTCTGGGGGGGGTTGCGTCCCTGGAGAGTGCCCTTCCTTCCCAAGACCCCTGACCTAGTGGCTGTGGAGGTCCAAAAATGCCATTAGCATTTCAAACAGCCATTAATACTTGTTTGTATTTACCACCAAATGTTTTAGAAGCAAAGTACAGTACTGGAAAGTACAGCATGGGATACAAGCTGTTCTCTCTTTAAAAGCATCAAATTACTAGGTGGAGAACACCTTTTGCTGTATCATATTACACTTCTTCCTAGGGATGTTGTCTACAACATCCTTTTGTTGACCTCTTGTGGGGGGAAACAACTCAGTTTTATGCCCCCAAAACAACTGCTTTGGATTTGTCACATTTAATCACCAATGACACATCATCCTTTTCAACAGCCGCCATCTACCAATAAGTTATGCCACAATTTGAAGTGATAGTAAAATGACAACAAATGCTCATAAATGTCCCAAATGTTATGCTAAAATCTGTATTTAGCTTGATCCATCAAAGCTCTTAAACAAAATGAACAATACTTTATTTCAAGGTTGTAACAAAACCTGTAAATTCCTTCCCTGTTGCACCCTTTTTGGCTGCAATTCCATGTACAGTGGTGCCTCGCTTAGCGATTGCTTCGTTTAACGAAGAATTCACTTAACGATGTGTTTCTTGGAGGAATTTTCCGCATCGTTTAACGATGTTCTCTATGGGGGATTTTCACTTAACGATGTTCGTTTTTGCTCATTTATAAGTGTCTTAAAATGTTTGAAACCTGTTTTAAATGCTTGGAATCGGTAGTGCACCTTGTGAAACATGTGCAAACTTAATTTGGCTTTGTTCTGAGTCTTCGTTAATTTTTGGTGATTTTTTGTTTTCCCCATTTAAATCCATTGAACGGACTCAAAACAGTCGTAAGTTGGGACATTCGTAAGTTGAGACACAATTGTATATCCACTCTTCAGGTAGGTACAGAAAAAATACAAGAATTACTAAACAGAGAGGGAGGAATTGTGAATTTCAGACATCGTTTCTTAGGACACTGAGTAAATCAGTTTCCATCTGATCAGCATCTAGCAGACAAAAAAATTACAAATGAACTCTTCAAATAGTGAAGCCCATTTTTTTTAAAAAAAAATCTTTCTGGTATACAAGAAGATACCACTTAAATAAGGCAGCCCAGCACAGGGCACCATTTCAGGCATCTGAGCTAATTTTTGCACCTGAGTCAAGAATATAAAATTGCACCTCTT